ACATCATAGAAGAGGTTAGCAGAGGGGGGGTGGACTCACCATCTCTCCCGCTATTCGTCGTTAGGGTGACAGCCGGGTTGGATGAAGCCTCCTCCTGCGACGGGGTTGGGCGGCTCCCTCCAGGGCTGACGGGTCAGTGGGTGGCGGCGGTGAGCAGGCCTGCGAACCCGGGGAAATTCCTGCCGAGGAGCACTGGCACAGGTAGTTTTTTAACTAAACCCACCTCGACCATCCAGGTTTTCCCTCTGGCCTGGAGCTGAACTTGGTGGGCCCTCACTTCCCGGGTTTCTCCATGGACACACGTCAGGGGAAGTATGGCGTGGGATTCATGTCGAGGTGGGAGGAGCTGGGTCCTCAACAGGCTCACTGAACTCCCCGAGTCCAACAGTGCGTGGTAGTGACGCCCGTTGATCCTCACCGCCACTCCCGGGGCTCCCTTGAGCAGTCGATGATGGAATCCACAACCCGCCAGCCATTTCTTCCTGGGTAGTGATGGTGGATCCGTGGGCATCGGTTCGTCCTGGGGGAAGGGAGCCGCCGGTCTGCTCTCTGGTCACGAGGTGCCCTCTGGCGGACGCGGGTCCTGGACCACCCTCCGGGGGTATGGTGGCGCACGCTCTCCGGGTTCGTTGCGGTGGGCCACCTCCGCCAGCTCAATGGCCTCTACGGCCTTCCATAGTGTGGCTGGGTTGCGTATCCGCACCGCCTGCTTCTGTGCACGGGGCAGCGCTCTCAACAGCTTGTCCAGCACCACACGTTCGACGACTTGACTGGCGGAGGGGCTTCCTTCGAGCAGCCAGAGTCGGGCGAGGCAGGATAGGTCAGTGGCTTAGGTGCGCGCTGGCCGGCGAGGGCGATACTCCCAGTCGTGGAATTGTTGTGCCGTGGAGATGGGTGATAAGCTCAGTCGCGCAAGGATCTCCCTCTTGAGCTCTTTATAATCATCACGTAAGTCGGGGTCCAGAGAAAAAAAAGCTCGTTGCGCCTCGCCGGTTAGCAGCGGTGCCAGCGCCCGTGCCCACTCGTCTCGTGGCCACCCTTCAGACACTGCGGTGGACTCGAATAATTGGAGGTATGATTCGACGTCGTCATGGGGGGTCAGCTTTTGGAGAAGCCGCATAGCCTGAGCTCTTATATCGGGCAGTGGGATCTGCTGGGCACTGGCACCCTAAAGATCACTGACCTTCCGCTCCGTTTCGCTCTGCTGCTTTGCCAGGAACTCGACGATCTGCTGCTGCCGGATGCTCACTTCGGTAAGGTGTTTGACGAGGTCTTCCATCCTGGAGAGCGTCACGCACCGTACTCAATAAGAAATCAGGAAAAAAAAACAGCAGAAAAATACAAAAAGAGAAAAAAAAAACAGTGTCAGAAGATCTGGGGTGTTGAACGCTTGCGTGTGATCCCCCCTTGGGTGCTATACCCACATTCTCCACCAGTTGTCTCAGGAGAGGGACCACGCAACAAGGTGTAAACAGAAAAATATCCCCGGAGGGTGGATTTAATTAATTGTGATGAGTATAGGTGGTCGAACGAAGTGCAGTGCTGTCTTTGGAGTGCTCGGTGCTCGTGTGCTCTTTCCTCTTCGTGCTCTTCCCAGTCCCAATAGTGCTCGTGAGTGTGGCATTGAGGAGGATCGGGGCTGTGGGCGTCGTTGTCTCGTTGCGGTCACGGGCTGTCTGGGTGAAGTGAGAGAGAGAGAGGCGTTAGCTGCTGCCTTCTTCGGAGATCAAGCTCACACTGGTTGTCTCTGCTCTCGCTTTTATGCAGCCGCGTTAATGAAGCGCTGATGTTCCCGATCCTACTGTGATGGCGGGCGCCAGGTGTTCCCGTTTTATGCCAGGAGCGTGATGATTGGCATGGACCTCCGTCACAATATACAAAAAAAAGAAAAAGCGCTATCTTACAACGCTACCTCCAGACCTGAGGGTTTCCCGATTCGACACCTTGCAGCTACGTCAGTCGATCATAGGCCTTTTGCCGAACGGGTCTGATAGTTTATACACTTCTATTCCAAATACAGTTTACTTAACATGAGCTGTCCTCACAGAACCATTTATCATCTGGTACCCTTCAACTTCAAATTCTCATTGATGTAATACCTCTAAAGTTGTTGTTGATCCTTGGTTCTCTCCCACACAAAAACTTATTTTCAGAAAAAATCAACCTTTAATCTTACATTCAATCAAAGTCAATGCGCTTTCAACGTGGTGGTCGAAAAAATGCCGTCTGAAACAATCCTCAATTCAACACTTGATTTAGAGTAATCAATCGCAGAATTCTATTAAAAAGGTTTCTGCTCACCTTCTTATTGGAGGCGCCTCTGTGTTGAATTGCGAATAGCCCTTCCAGTCCGGAGGAAAAAATCCCCTCCAACCGGTCACGTCGGAGGTCACCAAATTGTTGGATTTTTTATATTATTGGGTCAAAACCCATAATCCATTGCATGTTCAAAAACCGAAGAGGAGAACGTGTATTAATAAAAAGGTAGATTTAATAAGTATTATTGCAAGAGAAAAACAAAAATCAACACGATGCATCGGAGAACCCTCCCAGTCTGTTCATAGGATGATTCTGATTCTTGTCCGTTTGTCCTCAGCTTTTAGTATCACAGTTCAGTTGCATTTCCTTTGAAATAAAACTGGAATATTCTGGAGGAATATCCTTATCTCTTTCTGCCTGGGAAGAGAAAAGGGAGTCTTCCTCTTCAAGGCCAGGTATAATGAAACCATTCATTCTCGTTATAGTGAGATATGACTTTACAAGAAACCATAGAAAGTTAATAAAATTTCCCACACGTGTTAGGCAAACGTGATAACCACTACACTACGGAAACCTAAAATAAAATAACACAAAATTAAAATTTCTTAATGTCCAAAAACAAAATACCACAGTAGATTTTCAGAAAGAGCTCCTTTATGTTGTTTCCGCCCAGTTTCAAACTGGTGACCTTTTGCGTGTTAGGCAAACGTGATGACCACTACACTACGGAAACTTTCAAGGTTGTAATTTTCAAGTTTTTTTCAACCATTTTGGATAAAATAACACAAAAGTTAAATTCCTTAATGTCCAAAAAGAAAATACCACAGTAGATTTTCAGAAAGAGCTCCTTCATGTTGTTTCCGCCCAATTTCGAATTGGGGACCTTTTGCATGTGAGGCAAACGTGATGACCACTACACTACGGAAACTTACACCATTGTAATTTTTCACATTTTTTTCAATCATTTTGGATAAAATAACACAAAAGTTAAAATCCTTAATGTCCAAATCAAAATTCCACAGTAGATCCTTTATGTTGTTTCTGCCCAGTTTCGAACTGGGGACCTTTTGCGTGTAAGGAAAATGTGATGACCACTACACTACGGAAACTTACATAGTTGTAATTTTCACAATTTTTGAAAATCATTTTGGATAAAATAACACAAAAGTTACCACTACACTACGGAAACTTACACCATTGTAATTTTCACATTTTTTCAATCATTTTGGATAAAATAACACAAAAGTTAAATTCCTTAATGTCCAAAAACAAAATACCACAGTAGATTTTCAGAAAGAGCTCCATAAATTTGTTTCCGCCCAGTTCCGAACTGGGGACCTTTTGCGTGTAAGGCAAACGTGATGACCATTACACGACGGAAACTCACATAGTTGTAATTTTCACATTTTTTCAATCATTTTGGATAAAATAACACAAAAGTTATATTACTTAATGTCCAAAAACAAAATACTACAGTAGATTTTCAGAAAGAACTCCTTAAATTTGTTTCCACACAGTTTTGAACTGGGGACCTTTCGCATGTGAGGCAAACGTGATGACCACTACACTACAGAAACTTACATAATTGTAATTTTCTTATTTTTTTTCAATCATTTTGGATAAAATAACACAAAAGTTAAATTCCTTAATGTCCAAAAACAAAATACCACAGTAGATTTTCAGAAAAAAGTTCCTTCTTGTTGTTTCCGCCCAGTTTCGAACTGGTGACCTTTTGCGTGTTAGGCAAACATGATGAACACTACACGACGCAAACTCACATAGTTGTAATTTTCACATTTTTTCAATCATTTTGGATAAAATAACACAAAAGTTATATTACTTAATGTCCAAAAACAAAATACTACAGTAGATTTTCAGAAAGAGCTCCTTAAATTTGTTTCCACACAGTTTTGAACTGGGGACCTTTCGCATGTGAGGCAAACGTGATGACCACTACACTACAGAAACTTACATAATTGTAATTTTCTTATTTTTTTTCAATCATTTTGGATAAAATAACACAAAAGTTAAATTCCTTAATGTCCAAAAACAAAATACCACAGTAGATTTTCAGAAAAAAGTTCCTTCTTGTTGTTTCCGCCCAGTTTCGAACTGGTGACCTTTTGCGTGTTAGGCAAACATGATGAACACTACACTACAGAAACTGACATAGTTGTAATTTTCACATTTTTTCAATCATTTTGGATAAAATAACACAAAAGTTAAATGTCTTAATGTCTATGAAGAAAATACCACAGTAGATTTTCAGAAAGAGCTCCTTCATGTTGTTTCCGCCCAATTTCGAGCTGGGGACCTTTTGCGTGTGAGGCAAACGTGATGACAACTACACTACGGAAACTTACACCATTGTAATTTTCACCTTTTTTTCAATCATTTTGGATAAAATAACACAAAAGTTAAAATCCTTAATGTCCAAAAACAAAATTCCACAGTAGATCCTTTATGTTGTTTCCGCCCAGTTTCGAACTTGGGACCTTTTGCGTGTAAGGCAAATGTGATGACCACTACACTACGGAAACTTACGTAGTTGTAATTTTCACAATTTTTTTAAATCATTTTGGATAAAATAACACAAAAGTTACCACTACACTACGGAAACTTACACCATTGTAATTTTCTGATTTTTTCAATCATTTTGGATAAAATAACACAAAAGTTAAATTCCTTAATGTCCAAAAACAAAATACTACAGTAGATTTTCAGAAAAAGCTCCTTAAATTTGTTTCCGCCCAGTTCTGAACTGAAGATCTTTTGCATATAAGGCAAACGTGATGACCACTACACTACAGAAACTTACGCCATTGTAATTTTCACATTTTTTTCAACCATTTTGGATAAAATAACACAAAAGTTAAATTCCTTAATGTCCAAAAACAAAATACCACAGTAGATTTTCAGAAAAAGTTCCTTCTTGTTGTTTCCGCCCAGTTTCGAACTGGGGACCTTTTGGGTGTAAGTCAAACGTGATGACCACTACACGACGGAAACTTACATAGTTGTAATTTTCAATTTTTTTCAATCATTTTGTATAAAATAACATAAAAGTTAAATTCCTTAATGTCCAAAAACAAAATATTCAGTAGATTTTCAGAAGAGCTCCTTCATGTTGTTTCCGCCCAGTTTCGAACTGGGGACCTTTTGCGTGTGTGATAGAAATTTTCCTATGTAATGTCTCCATCTAGTGGTTATATTGAGAAATGTAATTTGAGAAACTTTTTAGAGCATACGTCATACTTTAGTCCCGCCCTTGAGGAGGAGGAAGTTAGAAAAGCACATGCGTCTCTCTTTGTCTCTCGCTCTCTCTTGCTTGCTCTCGTGTGCTGATCACTCTCTAGGATCGGTCTCTTTGTTTCTCCCTTTTCTTTCTTTCTCTTTCTTTTCTATCTCTATTCTTTTTCTTTCTTTTTCTTCTTTTCTCTTCTGGCGTTCGTTTATATTTTTAATAGGCTTTTAATATGCTTTAAACCACGTTCTTCTTTCACGTTAGAGTCACGTGTGTAGGAAATGCGTTGAGACTGCACCTTTTGTAATAAATAGCCGCATTTGCTGTGTTCTCTCTCAAACGGTCTCCAGTGTTCATTTTCAATTAAGAAAGTAAATTTTAATTACCATAACATTTTGGCGTCCTTGGAGATTTCGAACCAAACCAAACACTTTTTGGAGTCGAATGAATGAATCTCGTCTGATGCGACGTGAGAAGTCACGTGCATGAATGGAATTCCTGTTCCTGGACAGAGGAGGAGAAGTCTGATTTGGCCGATCAGCATACATCTGTTCAGCGTTGGATTCAAAGGCGAGTAAAATTCTAATATCTCAGTTATTGACTTTTACACGCACTAGTTTTGAGTTGAGTATGGTACCATGAATGCTGTGTATTCCGGAATAAAGGGTTAATTATAGGTTGCTCTGCGTACGGATTTTTGCTTTAAGGGATGAACAAACATAGCGTTACCTTTTAGTAATAATTTGAGCAGCACGTAATTAATTGCTGATCAATGTAATAGGAGTGTAACTCTAGAGAGAGTTCTCCGCGAGGTTGCGTTTGAAATTATCTTTGTGCGTGAAAAGAGAGTTCATGCAACATATTTTGTTTCTCTGAGTGAAGCAATTTATGGTGGGGTGCGTGCAATTAATTTTTATTGAGATATAAAGAGACTTGATAATGTTCACTGAGAAAGAGATGGGATTGGAGCACAGCAAAGTCGCGCAGCAACAAAAAAAGCGCTCTAAAAGTAACTAAACTATCTGAACATGAAACTTATGCAATGTAATAATGAGAAGAATCTTTGACTTAATATACTTTTAAAGTGAAAAGCTTGATTTTAGTGATAAAAAAACTCTTAAAACTATACTAAAGTGAAGAAGCTATTCAAGAAGACCACATGGTCCTCTTCCTGCTTTTCTTTCCAAATCTCTAAATGGCTGCTATAACAAAGGAAAACCTCCCCCAGCGACAAAAGTTCCAAGGTGAATGGAGGAGGTAGTGGGGGTTTTATGACTTGATTACAGAGAGATGAAGAAGCAGTAACTTGAATGCTCATGAGGAAGACATTAGATTTGACTAATACAGATGTTGAACAAGAATTTAATGATAAGAAAAACTCTGAGCAATATTACTCTATAAAAAAAAATTTATTTGATGAGTTTTAATGTGATATTGTAATTATACAATGCAATAATTCTCCTGTGAGAACTTATATTTTCAGGTACTGGGAGAACCTGAACGATGGAGATTCGTGCAAGATTTAAAAGCTGTAAACGATGCGGTAATATCGAGAACATTGAATATACCAAATATTCAAACTTTGATTTCTTCTATCCTTTCTGAGTGTGAATGGTTTTCTGTGGTGGATCTGGCCAATGTTTTTTATTTTTGTGTGTGTGGATATTGACGGTCAATTTTGGGTTTGCTTTTCTTTTTGAAGGAAAAGCCTGTGTCAAGGATACTGTGAATCTTCAACAATCTTAGAAACAGTTTAGAGAGTTTAGAGTTAGGTTCTGGATCAGTACTTTTACAGTACATTGATGACTGTCTGATTGCAAGCCCAACAGAGAAGCAATGTGAAGAAGACACAGTGAAACTGTTGAAACATCTAGCACAAGATGTACACAAGGCAAGTATTTCTAAATTGCAGTTTGTTCAACAGGAAGTAAAAGTTTTTGGGTCATTTGATCTCAAAACAAAAGAAACAACTGGAGGTGAGTAGAGTGGAGGCAATAGAGAACATTCTGAAACCGACGACAAAGAAGCAACTTTTGTCTTTTCTAGGAATGTGTTCTTATTGCAGGACTTTCATTCCAAATTTTGCTTGCTTAGAGGCTCCTCTAACCTCTTAAGCCCTGAGGCCTATTTTCCGAAAATCCTATACTTTTACTTTTTAAGGCATTTCTCAGCTTTTACAAGGCCTAAACTGCAAATCTTGGTATCAAAATGAAGATAGGTTCTTGGGGAGTGGTGTGGATGAGTTAATTTGACAGTCAAGAACACAGGGTAAGAGTAATTGATGTTGGAATGGCCAAAAAATGAACTCCGCCTAAAAAAAAAACACATGTTTCCTCCAATATCTCCTTATTTTACTTATAACGAAGCAAATAAACACAATCAATTGTAACCACTACATGTCAAGAACATCTGTAGCAAGTTTGGTGTTCATACTACAAGAAACTAATATTCTGTAAAGGTTTGATTGAACAAAGTTCAGGCGTAATCCATGTTGGCACAGTTTGGCACAATTTGGCACAATAATTGAAATATGGAAAAAATCTTGTCCAAAGCTTCAGCTACGTTAATAGTCTTCTTTTGTTGCTTATGGGACATGATTTCAGCAAAAAAAACTCCTAAAGAAACGCTGTAAAAGGGGGGTAGAAGCTCATTTACGCCATCTTGCTGCGCTTTTGGGAACGTTTCACTCACAAACGCTTTGGCGTCGAGCTTCTGCGTGTCCCTACCACCCGACCATCTGTCCAATCCGGGAGCTCTATACATCGCTGGAAAGCTCTGATTCTGAGGAAACCAATCAGCTCAACCATTTGGAGACTGACTGGATCGCCGACGAATCACACGACGCGCAGCGTGGAGAGACGTGCTCTTACGCACGGGGAGTCATTCCATATTTGGTGGCGTAATGACGCCACAAAGCTAAAGAAACAATCAAAAATGGCGTTTGCACGAAGCTATTGACCGGACATAACAACAAACGGACTTTTATCGCTATGGAAATAACTTTTTGTTGAAAAAACGGCAAAGGTAAGACAAGATTTACATGCTTACTTGGTTTTCGCTGGCGTTTTTTCGTGGAACTTTCGCTCCCTGCTCTGAAATACTTCATGCAATGTTAATGAGTTGCATATCGCTGGATTCAGGTGGTTGTTAGCTTTCATTTAATGTAATGGTTTGGGTGTTTCCGTTTATATTGTGGATACATATCGCACAAAAACAAAAACGTGGTCATGAATTATACTCCGGACATGTTGTTGTTTATTTGCATGGCGTTCGAGCTGTGGTTAACGGATATGAAATTGAATTAGATACGTTTTTAGAAGAGTTTCCGCTGAACACAACAGTATTTAATATGTGTGGGTTATTCTCAGGGTTCGTGAGCTATGAGTGAAAATGTAACGCACAAGGGGGCAAGTCCCCGGTACCGGGGACTCTCGGGCTTAAGAGGCTAAGTGAAATCATCCTTGAAAAAGTTTGTTGGTGAACAGTGTTATTACTTGGACACCAGCAGCAGAACTTGTATTTCAGGACTTAAAAGGAGTTTTTACATCAACTCTTGATCTTTCTGATTCTACCAAACACTTTGTTCAGTGTGAATGAAGAACAGTGAATGAAAAAACATGGATGCATGACATCTGTGTTATTGCAGGATCATGGAGGTAAGTTACGACCGGTTGCTTATTTCTCCTCAACATTGGATCCTGTTGCTGCAGAACTTCCATTATGCTTGCGTTCCGTCACGGTTGCTGAAAAAGCAGTGAATGCCTCACAAGATATTGTTGGGTAAGGTGAGTTGACACTGTTAGTACCAAATTCTGTCTCGTAACTGTTATTAGAACAAAAAAACAGCTCATATGATAGCAGCGAGATGGTTGAGGTATAATACTGTTTTGTTGGAAATGCCTAACATAACTGTGAAAAGATGTAATGTGCTTAACACTGCAACTCTTTTACCAACAGAGTTTGATGCTGAAGCGCATTCCAGTGTTGATGTGGTGGAATGAAGTTTGTTCTCCTAGGGTTGATCTGCAGGAGAGACCTCTACAGATTCCTGAGATGGTAGTCTTTGTGGATGGATCAGCTTACAGAAGTGAGGAGACTGGGTTGAACTGTGAAGGATATGCGGTATTTACACAACATGAGACATTACTAGCTGTATCTCTTCAGTCACATTTTTCTGCTCAAGCTGCTGAATTGGTGGCTTTGACTGAAGCTTGTAACTTGACTAAAGATAAACGTGTAACTATCTATACTGATAGTCGATATGCGTTTGGAGTTGTTCATGATTTTGGAACTTTATGGAAGCATAGAGGTTTCCTTACATCATCAGGAAAACCTATTGCACATCATATGCTAATTTCTAACTTGTTGGATGCTATTCTGTTACCTAAGGAAGTGTCTGTATGTAAATGTGAAGCTCATTCTGGTGCAGAAGATTTTGTTTCACAGGGTAATGCTAGAGCAGATGCAGCAGTAAAGAATGCAGCGAGAAAGGTGATGTCTGTTCCCATCATGACTAAGGTGTGTACTCCTACAGTAGACATTGCAGGATTGCAATCTGGAGTTCCTCATA